ACTACTACTACTACTACTACTACTACTACTACTACTACTACTACTACCTAGATCTCCGAATAAGTTGAAATTATTGTTCGAGATGGAAAAAAGAACTTATTCCACGATCTGACACTTTTTTTTGTCCCGCACGATTTTATCCGTTCAGACATCAGCTTGGTGTTCTGGAGCCTGGATTCCAGATTTTTGGGCATTTCCCGAAAGTTCTCGAAATCTATTGAGAACACATTTGGATAAGAGCTGACACTGTTTGGAGACTTCACGCCGGCATCGCGATGATGTTAGTTTCACTGGGTTCAAACATACATGGTGTCATTGTGCATCCATCGATGCAAAGCCAGGCCATGCATGGAATCTATCTTTATTAAGAGACATGAAATTTTTTCGCATGAAATACTGTAGCTCAACATGTTTATGCATCAAAACACACTGGAATGATGGCAATGTCAAAGCAGCATGGGATCCCAACCGTGTACGCATTACGATTCTTGACCCTTCTAAAGCTGATCCACTTGATTCCCTTTACCAGACTCCAGGCTCCACTCCGCAGGAACGCCATCATGACACGCAGGAACGCCTTCTTTAGCTCCCTGTGCCACCTTTAAATTAAAGAACGGCAGGACTGACTGAGTCTAACAAAAGGATCTACAGCCCTTATAGGGGACTATTAGGAGAACACGCACCGCTACAGGACCCATATGTAATTTGTAATTCAATGCGCCTGAGTGGTGCAATGTGGAGATTCCTGACTTTCTGCTGAGCAGAACTGCCCTTCTGGCATGGTTGACTGATTTGTGCTGCATGTTTCAGTGTGTCTAAAATTTAGAAGGCAGTTTGTGAACTTCATGTTCATGAGAATGCAAGCGGATGCAGCAGTTTTTTGAATATAGTTTTGACATGGGCATACGAGCTTCCCACCATTTCCCACCTCTCAGCCTCAGCTGCCCGAAGCTCACAAATCTGCCAGCCTGCAACGCAGCTGCTTTGTTTTGATCAGAAAGGATCTCGTTGTCGGATCTGAAAGCGGGTACCATGAGCCGCAACCCGTCCCCATCTCCAACCGAGAGAGCTGTGCATTACAGCTTGGAAGGACTACACCTAGACTGGGACAACGATTCGGTGGTTCGCCGACGAGTGCGTTGGGGAAATCATGTCATCAGGCATTTCGACCCCCAGACCTCCACGGAGACCAACCAGTATGTGGAGAAGACCCTGGTCAACGTGAGGTTGAACAAGCAGGTTTTGAAACCACTCTGCGTTCGCATGCGGAGCCACGAACTTGCACTTCCGATTATCGATGCAGTGATTGAGGAGTTTCGCAACCTGTACTGCTTTTCGAAGGTCACGGTGTCCTACGACACTTTGTACCAAGAAGCATGGGCATGCAGAAGGTTGCTGGCCTTGGCCAAAAACACCTTATTGCACAGGAAGTACATCTCTGAGGACAGGGTTCTATATGTGAAAGGGTATTTTTTCCACAAAATGGGTCATATTGTATTATTTCATTGACATGCATAATGTGGGTGACAACCTTGCTGACCAGTCAGCTTTGCTTCAAACACGCCAGGAGGACACCGACATGCTTGAACTGGCAGACCATTTTGGCATTAACGTCACCATGAGGGGAACCAGCTCTACTTCTTTGGGACAGTCATATCCTGTCATGGATGACCCCAACTACGAAGCAAGGCCTGTGGCAACACCAATGACTTCTTTGGCTGCGCCACCTGTGGATGTTCCAACACATGCTTCTGCAACTTCTGGAGCGGTGCCGGCGGCTGAAACGAACGCAGCAGAGCCGCCAGAAGCGCCAAGTATGGAGCACCCGGAAGCTGTGCTGGCCGCCCCAAATGCTCCTGCACTCGCGCCTGCTGGTCAAATGACCTTGCACCAACTCGCTGCTTGTCGATTCAAACCATACATGAATCAGCCAGTTTTCAGGGAACGAGTCCAGCGCCCCTTGCGTCAAGCCACTCTCGCGGAAGTTGTCATGCAAACATCCGTTTGCGAGGCTGGCAACGAGATGGTGGAAGAGATCCCAACAGAAGCAGCCAGCGGTGCAAACGGCCCGGACCGCACTCCCATGACAGCGACAGGACCTCTGACTGAGGCCTGGTTTGCGCATTGAGTGCTTTGTACAAGTCCTGCACATGCATGCATGCACACATGCGCATGACTTGTATAGCAACACAGGCCAGACCTGCCTCAGCCCAGCAGTCTGAGCATGACATCCTTTCCGAGGGGCACCAAATTCGCATAAATATAATCATCGATGGTTTGACAGTCGACATGTATTTATATAACCTTTGTGTGTGTGCGTACACGGGCGTACAGGTGATTGAGATTGAGGATAATGACACTCCTATGGATGAAGATGCTCTGAGATCACAGCTGGCAATGGTCTTGGAACAACTCGAGGAGTGTCTTGCCATGAACAAATAAATACAGTAGTATAAGCTGGATAGGTGTATACCATGCTGTACCCATGTATGTTCCATTCATGCAACACAAAAGAAGAAGAATAGCTTTTTCCTCGATCAAATTGTCTGTGATTCCCCACTCTCCGACCCTTCAACTGCACTAGCACGCTCAGGTTTGGCCTGGGCGATGACACATTGCCATACGAGCCGGTCGAAGATCCGCCAGCTGCAGCTCCTGCGGATGCGCCAGAGCATGCAGAGCAGGCTCTCAAGGAGACACCACTGGCCGAAAGCCGCTGCCGCACTCCTATGGGTGGCCTCACTACATTTAAAGCCCAAAAGACTTTCTAAACCTCACGGGAGTCTCATTAATTTCCACGGTTGGTCGATGGTGTTGGTTTGATCGTCCTTTGGTTAGCAGTTCAGGTCGTCCTGCAGAGTGGGTTGTGGAATCTTTGCCACAGGGCACTGACAATGCGGACACGCAGATCCCAATCTCCCCGACCAACTATGAGGCCACCAGCTCTATGGTCAGCATGTTGGAGGAGGAAGACAAGAGAGTTGCTGCTGCTAAGGAGCATGTTTGTGCATGCCAGTATGTTTGGCAGAATATGCGTTTACACGGTATCTCAAATTACATTACAATTCGTGCATGTTAGATCGAAAAATGTGACCAATGTGTTCCAAGCTAAGCCCCCTGAAGGATGGCACCGCCGAAGCAGTACCAGAGGTGCCATGTCACCCACCTGTCACACGTCGTCAACAATTTGGGTTGAAAGATGAAAAGGCTGAGGAAAGGGCTGAGAAGAAAAAGAAGAGAAAGACAGGGGGGGGCGCAGGTGGCAAGAAAAAAAAGGGAAAGGGCAAGGGCAAGGGAAAGGGAAAGGGGAAGAAGTCTTCCAAGGGAGGAAAGCTCAAGGGCAAGACAGCCCAGCAGAAGAAGAAAGCGAAGAAGAACTCCAACTCAAAGAAACGCAGCTCAAGGGCAAAGGGTTTGGCCAAGTTGAGGGATCTCGAGGCAGCTCGCAGCTTCAAGCAGGCAAAGACTGTTTCAGAGTCCTCTTGCCCTCACGCTGATCCCTCTCTCGCCTTGGCAGATTGCACTGAACATGGCAATGAAGAGAAACTGCCTGCACCAAGGGAGCTCCCTTCGTCGTCGGAGGGGCCAATCCACCACTCAAAGGGAACCTCTTGCAGGGGGGCCTCGAAAAAGAACTCCAACAAGGGCTCAAAGAACAAGAAGAAGCGTCATGTTGGTGAGGACAAGTCCAAATCGACGAAGGAGAATGAGTCGGGAAAAAAGGTGAGCGTCCCGCCCAAAACGTTTGATCGCTATGTGGCATGCATTGAGGATGTGGTGGCCAATTGCACTGCAACGGACTGTCTCCACACGGACTTTGACCTGACAGTGCCTGATGTCCCCGACAGTCCGTTCCAAATTTGCGTATATTGGAGCCGAAACGCTGTTGGTGTGAAGGTGTCCAAGGATCGGGTGGCTGGCAAGACCAAAGCCAAGGGAAAAAATGAGCAAAAGGAGAACAAGGCATACAAATCTAAGAATGTCAGTCAGATTGCCTACTTTTCCAAAGGGGGCTGTGTGTATGTCAACCACGCCATGGCACAGGCCTTCGCCCTTTAGATGCACGTAGTTGCGCATTGCTTTGAGTTTGGTTCCGGTTTGTTGTCCCGGTATCCCTGTCCCTGGACCTGCCCACACCATGGCCCGTCACCCTGACACCTGGCCTTGTCCAAGGTCAAATCGATGGGAAAGGTGACAGAGAAGATCCTGGGCAAAGACTGCATCAAGCAGCACAGTGATGGGCTAAAGCAGGCTCAGCGTTTGGTCTTCCAACGCGAAGGCTATCCCATTTAAGCGCTGAGGGTCATGTCATGTCTGTTACAAAAACATTACGATAATATATAGGTTTTGACAATCGGATTGTATAGGCCTCATGCTTTTGGAATCCAAATGATCCCCATATATATTATGCAGAAAGATGTCCGCCTGTCAGGTTTGTTTCAAGGCATGTGCCCAACCCTGCTTAAAAGAGCAAATTTGAACTACAATGCATTCCATGCGCTGCATGGCTTCAGACCGAAGCTTTTCGACATGAGTGAGCTTCATTTTCTTGATGGTGGCATGGTATACCCATGCATCATGGGGGGATCTTGCATGAGTGCACATGCAGCTCATGACTGGGGATGTGTCGCACCAAAAGTGAAAAAGCATGCGGTTGCGAAGGCTCTGTGCAATATATTGGAATGTTCTCCCTTGTAAGTCTATACTATATCCGCCTTTTGGAGAGCAGCACCTCAATCATTATATAAGTGGATACGCCGGCCCAATCGCAACCCTCTCCTTCTGGAGCCTGGAGCTCGCTTTCAACAAATATTGCTGCCAGGTCATGGTCCTGATCAGGAAGCTGGGCGGCCGGAAAGGCTTAGTGCTTCGCCGTGGTGCTCCAGCTAGTGGTGGTGTGGCTTCATGTCTTGCTTGCGTGCTTTTCCTATGCAAGCTCACTCGTTCACAGCAAGTTTTTCCATTGCACTGATCCTATAAGAGATGGAACACCATTCACAATTAGTCATCAGTGCTTTTCCTTTTTGACATTTGTTCTTGTGCACGTGAGTTTAGTGATGCTTTGTGCACGCTAGAGCTTTTTCAGGCGCCGAACCTGTCAGCATGTGTATGCATGAGTGACTATATATTTGATTATATTTGCAGCAATACAACGGGTTTTCATGTCACAGACTAGAACCTTCCAGGCCTGCTTCATCAAACATACTGGCCAGCCATGGAAAATATTGATTTGGACAAGCTTGTCCGTCGACTTCTATTTGTTCAGGCTCCGAAGGCAAGCTGGCATGAGCACGCATATGTATAGATGTCCTCTCTATGTAATGTAATATCTGCATGATTCTTCATGGGTTGGGTGGTCATATTCATGGACTGAAAGTTGTATATGAACCCATACCTCGATCCACCAGCAGCCCGGTCCAGATCTTCATCTGCTGCGTGATCCTGGTCTTCTTCAGCGGCCTGCCGCGTATGGAGGCAGGGCTTCTATACAAAACAAAACCCAACCTCCTGGTTCCTAAACTACAAACGATTCACTTATTCACAAAGAGCGATCCGATCTCCACTCCACTCAGCACGAGAGCCATGTCGTCCGACATGCAGCCACCCTGTTTGGCCTTCAATCCGGAAGAACACATGTTCGCAGGGGTTGAACTATGTCGAGCTCTTCGCTGGTCGGGGCAACGCTTTCTCAGAAGTACGCGCCGCCAAATTTAAGGGATGTGCCTGTGAACTTGACTTCGGGGAGAGCTTCGGGTTTGATCCAAAGAGGAACCCCTTCAACTTCTTGGATCCAGCCGGCTTTGCGTTCTCCTCTTAGTTGCACTGAAAAGCACATCGGCTTTTACTGTTTTCAATATCATGGCTCCATGTATATAGTTTGGATCTCGAGACATCTATTGAATTGGTTCCAACCTGTTCCATTTCCAAATTGGTAGCCTTGTCGCCCATCCTGATTAAGGATAGCAATATGGCTAACTCTGTGTTGTGAAGAAGACCGCTTTTGGATGCTACTTGGGACACCCTGTTCGTCCTGGATTCATATGAATGTCGGAACTTCGAGACGGAGCGTACTCAATCCAGACGGGGCTGAACAGTACTCTTACATTCGCGAAGCGAATTCCATGCTGAGCCGGACTGGAAATATGTGTGGTGTCCATTTGTTTGAACACACCATTCAAGTTCAACGGATGGCCATTGGTAACAATCCCAAGAGAGTCTATATATCATGCAATTATATAAGATATCTACACTTGCAGTTTCAAGAAAACACACAGACAGGTTCCATACAAAACGGTCTTTCTTCTACCAAGCGCGCTGGCAGGAGTGTATTGGTCATGCTGCTGGCAGCTATGAGGGGAGGGTCTTTCGGTTTGGAAACTCCTGGATCATCGATCATGGAGAGGTACAAAAGAATGGTTTTCCTGTACCGACGCTTGCGCGTGGCTCGTCAAGGACTATATATGCATGATGGATTTTGTGCGTGATGGGAGCCACGTTCTTCTATACATGCACTTGAAGTCTCCACATTTTCCAATTGTACGTTGTTTGGAGCTGCGCCACACAAAGCCCATTTGCCACCACCGTCCCCCCTGAACCTCTGGGATCCTTCTTTCTTGATGCCGGCCTTCCAAGGTATACAAGGTCGGCTGGTGGATGGCCCACTACGGGAGTCGGTCTCCCAAACGGGAGAAGATGTTTGCAAACAACAAGGCAGTTGCCCGTTTTTGTCGGGGCAAACTGACAAAGGTTCAGAAGGCCTCCATGAAATTGGATGTGAAGACGACCAAACGCACGAAGGGTGGAGGATACCAAGGCACGTCTGAGCTGAAGGGAACTCAGAGACTCGTATTTTCAGGAAGATAGTAATACGTTCAGTCTTGTTTGGGATGGCCCACAAGATGGAAACATATTTTCATTGCTGGTGTTGAGATATACACTCTCCTTGTTGTGTTTGTATAGCAACATGATCACCCTCCTCGACAAATCCCATGGGCCAGAAAAACAGCACATCCCATGAATGAATCACTGGTTTGTCTTGGGGTACGGTGTTCCACCAAGACTTCATGGGTATATAAAAATGCAGAACCAAACGAACAAACAAAATCGGGGATGCGCAGTTAAGAACTCTATGTTTTTGTATATAGGGGACTAAGCCAAATCGTATATGATGCAGTTGCTTTGCTGCATACATTACAATGTTTATATAATCAATATTTGTGAAATGCACGGGTGCATCTAAGGACATATCCTCGCCTTTTTGGGATGAAGATAGCTTCCATGATGGGCGACCTCATGACACGGGGCGAGGGAAAACCTGCTGACACCGATCTGACTGCCCTCCCTGCCCATGAAGCCTTTGCTGCAGCGCCATGGGATGAAGACTGGAAAGAAGCCGGTCTGAAGGAGGTGTTGATTTACCTCAAGGGTAACAAATCCCTGCGGCTGCCTCAAATTTGGAGGGATGTGATTCCCAGGTCCTTGTAGGTCCAAACCATGGGAGGTTTAACTGGCCTCCTAATTGAATCCTTTGGTATAGGCATGCCCATGGACCTTCACATGTTGGTGAACAGTGTTTGGAGTGAAGGGGACTATCCCTGTGCATGAACAACAAAGAAGATGTCTCATGCCGATATTGTTTTGGAGAGTTGTGCGCATGCACCAACTTAACTGTAACAGCTTCCCGGTTCCCCGGAATGGTTCGAAACATTGAAACATGAAATCGCTATATCATGCCTGCATGCATGGAGAACACCCTTGGATCATCTTGGATCTATATATAATTTGTATATAGGACGTCCCCAGAGTCTTCATGCAACCACAAAGTGCAGGGAGTTGCCTTCTTGGAAGCTAGAATGGACCCTCACAACTTAAAGTTATAACAACATACTTCAGCAAACTGCCACTTGTTGGACGTGTTTGACATTTTTTGACACATTTTGACGTTTTTGGTACCGTTCCTGCCCAGGAGGTTCCGATAGGATTTCATCATTTCGGGAAGCTTTTGTGACGGACGAAAAAGCACGTAAAGATTACAACAAATTGTTGTTGTTTTTTGTGTCTACATAGTGGGGGTGAAACTTCCCGAATTCCAACCCGTTCGGGTTACGTTCACTTTACGTTCACTTTACGTTCATTTTGCATTCACTTTGCGTTCGCCTTTACGCAAATTTTACGTAAAAAAATGCTCGAAACTTCCCGAACCAGTGACTTGCTTTTTGGACACCGTATCACTGCATGGACGGGATCACATCCGTTGGTGATCAGATGATGACCACTTGGGGTTTGCAACTTCAACGTTTTGCAGGCTTACCTGCGGAAATTGTGCCCAATTCGATGCACAACCGGTGGCGACTGAGCTTCCAAAAAAGCAAATATGCTTTTCAAGGAAATGCTTTTAACATATGTGTTCACTGTTCCAACTGAGGGATCCATGTGGATGTTTTCATTCTCATGAATACCCATCAAACACAAGATGATGTTATTCAATGTTTTTCCAGCTGACCATTTGGGATCAATTGCAAACACGTATAGGGATCGTGATGTCCACGCACACCCTGCCAAGCCGGGCCTGGTCGTGTGATACCATGAAGGCAGGCGCAGATGCCTGCCAAGTGGTGGCAGCTTTGAATTTGAAGGGCAGTGATCTACCAAATGCCTTGAAGGACCCACTATCCAAGACAATACTGAGGGGATTTGAGTTTAAACTTGAAGAATGCATGGTTACCATGCACACTGTAACCCATAAAGGTTTTTGGGGTGCCCGTGGACTTGCAGGACGCCAACAAGCTTCTTGCCGAGTTGAGAGCCAAGAAAGCCGCTGCTTCAGCCCCATCTTTGGCTATGCCTGTGAGAGTCAAGACAGAACCAGGAACAGAACCTGTCATTTGATTGCACTTTTGAACTTTAGGCTGGATGAAGGTTTAGCCTTGGACAATGTCCGAGAGTTTGTCTTTGCGTTGAAGTCAACATTTTTGTCCTGCGTGTGTTGAATCTGTGTCACTTCCTGTGTCTCCGAGGTGAAGAGGGACCAACGCTGTCCAGGAACTCCGTCGGTCTTCGACAACACTCAACCTGCTGCTTCTTGGCACCCAAGCGCGATAAGGGGTTGACACTCTCCGCCGAGTTCTGTGATTTAAGACTATTGGAGTTGGTGCATCTTTGCTTGCAAATAAAACGAAAGATTGTAAACCAAAACTCGAGCCATCTGAGACTCATGAAGAACTTGTGGCATCGATGAGCCCAGAATTCCACAAGGACTGCATGTTGCTGCTTTTTACCACTGCAAAGATTTCAGAATGGACACGTGTGGAACGGTGTGTCATCTTCAACCACTCCCCCTTAATTGTGGGGCTGTAAGGTTTATATATTATATACAATGAGACATGTTCAAACCATGTATACTCCAATCTGGGCCAGGATCCTTTCGCACTTCCGAGTGTGGCCGCTACACCACCTGGACCGAGTACGACCTCTCAGGACCAAGATCTGTTGGCGAGAGCTGTCAACAAGATTGAGAGCTTAGAGCGGGAACTTGAACTGATGAAGCAGGCCAGGTCTAACACCCCGTCGGCATTCACGCCTACGCCTACTCCAACAGCTGCAGCTCACACGCCTGCTGAGAGTGAGGCTGAAGATCTGACAAATCCCCAGAAACCCAAGTCGAAACACACGGACTCCAAAGATTCGGACACTGATGACACCATTGTTACACCACTTGGAGAAAAGGTACCTTGGAACAACCAGTGTGAAAAAAAGCAGGGTATAGCATGCGTGCCGAATTCAATAAAACAAAAGCAACACGTTCCACTCTATACAGCTCAGGTATTGGGACACGACGCACTTCGCATGAGGCTCAGACGCCTTTGTGAAGTAAAACCTTCAGGACGTTGCTATGTCGACGACACGACCAGATCAGATTACGCAAACTTGGAGCGTCGCGAGTGGCTCGAGCTAGCACTATGCGACGCGTTGAAGAAACACGGGACCGATAGGAAGGACTTCAAGAAGATTCGTGTGGGGGGCCTAATTACATCAAATGCTTGGAATATTAACCTTGCTGCATGCATGCATTTTCCTTATATAGATCATTTGGTATACCGACCAACACCGCTTAGGCTGAGTTCATCACCCGTGTCGTGGTTGTTCGTGAGAAGATGCAACTCCGTGAACAAGAGGTCCATGGATGTTGGTGCACTGAAGCCAAACTAGAGCAGAAGGGATATTCCCAGACTGCTGGCTGCAAACTGTTTGAGTCAACGACTTACAAAAGCCTTCTGGATTCGTATATGTTTCGTGCATTAAGGAAGGACATTCAGGCCATCGTTGCCTTTTGCTCGAAATTCCCCAACTCCCTGGTTCGGCCTTACCCTAAGTCTTGAACGCTGGAACTTCTGGATCGCTTTGCACTTCATGAGTCGAGTCGTTTAAAATGCAAACCTCAAATGTTCTGAGACCTTGGAAGTACAACAGTGCGATAATGGAGTACTTCGTAGAGGATGAATGCAAGCAGCTCCTCAAGCGTTCAGAGCTCACGAAGCAGGTTGAGCAAACAGAACTTGACGTTGGGATCCCAGTGATTCTTTTCAAAAGTCAACTTAACCCATGGGCCCACTGAGTTGAATGCATCAACTATATATCCCAAGAAATCTTGGTACAACTGCTTGCATGTTGGCCTGTTCCAATATACTGAAAAGCATTTAAGGACAAGGAATCCAAAGATGCACCGGACACCAAGATGCTCGAGGGTGACTTGTGGAACACTGACGCTTCCACTGCGCCAGAAGTTTTGGGTGACAAGGCCACCTTTTTTGGCATGCAGCACCATGTCCCATCATCCGGCCTTCAAACTTGTTCTCCCACGCAGCCGCAAATAGCCCGTGGAGGTACTGCCAGACCTTGAAAAGTTCATGCAGCACATCCAGGACAAAATCGCTTTGATCCGGGAAATGGTGACCTTCTTGGAAACAACCGACCTACCACCGCCGAAGAGCCGATACGATGTGTACACCCCTTAGATATCTGCAGGGGTTCATGGACCTTTCTTATATAGCGCACACACGTGTGTTCGGACCTTTGACTCTCGTGTCCAAGGCTTCGTGCATCCTTGGGAAAGACCCAGACAGTGTTCGATTCTCACTACAAGGTCTTCGCAAAGCTTGTAACAGACTTCAGAATGGACGGGATTGACCAAAAGAGTGAGAAGTTTCCAAGGTTTCTTTGCTAAAGTATATAGATCAACACTTTTTGAAACACAAAAGAGTCTTTTCTTGTGCAGGCAGTATCATGTGTTTCTTGTGTGACAGGGGCTCTGGATATACCCGTGGGGTGTATAGTAGGGTTTATCCTGTATATATAGTGTCTGCATGGTGGAGCCTTTAGTGGATCTTCGTGATGGCACCGACGAAGAGGGTGATTGGCTGAATGAGCTTATCGAATACAACCGCGATGCAACTTGTGCGCATATATGCATGCATGCAATATATTGCACGTGTGATGCTGAGAACTCGTGCCCCCATCACTCCACATCCACATCATATTCACCTGTTGTCTCCCAAGGCAAAGTCTTGCTTGGGCATCGAGCCAGCTCCAGCGTCAACACCAGCTCATCATGCCTTGGCAGGGCCAAGGCACCATGAAAGTCATACTGCTGAAAGCACCCTCTACTTGGATAAGCTGGAACCAGATGTTTTGGCTTTGTCTAGGACCGCTGAATGCTTCCAGCTCATCGAGAGAGACCCATGCTTGACATATAGCCTTCCCAGGAAAGGTTCTCTTCCGGGTCGTGTCCTCAAACACTGCTTCCAAACCCTGGAGTGCCATTTGCAGCGGAAATCGCCGATGGCTTTCAAAATCGGTTACACGCATTGCGCATATACACGCTGGTGGAACTCTGTTTTTGGATACACCCATGAAAAGATGCCCAAGTGGGAGGGAATGGTCGTTGTCTTCGCTTCGTCCAACACTGTAGCAGCAAGTTACGTGGAAGCGGCCATGATTCAACATTTCAAGGGTGGCCTGTCTGCGGTTTCCATGGTTTGTTCTTCAAACAACGTAACAAACAAGCAAAACACATGTAACACAAACCCTTGCATCTGACACACTGCCTAGGTATCACAGGTTGCAAAAACGAACGTGATGGCGGAGATAGTGTGAAGGATATGTGCCGAGATGCAGGACCTTTCCTGACCTACTATGTGTTTCGATCTTTCCAGCGGCCTAGTGATGCGCCGTTGATGCGTAGTCGACCGGGGTGCTAAAACAAAGGGCAGTGGTTCCTATATGATGGTATTCTTTTCCAATGGCATTACATCAAGTTGATCAAGTATTCTTAACTGCTGGCATCTAAGGTTCTTGGCCGCTGTTGACCAAGCGAAGGTTGACGTGAAAGAACCGTGTCTTGTATGAGAGTTTAAGATCTCGATAATTTGTGCAAAGCATGTGATTGAAATCTCTCGTCTCTGACAACATTCCCATGCACCTATATAAGGTCAGTGCAGTTTATGACTCTTGAAGCTGACTACAGGCGCTCTGGGGTGTTCAGTGAACCATTCACATTGAGAACTCATGGTGGTTGATTGGTCACCTTCGTGGCTTGATTGAGTGGAGGTCCATCAAGAAGGCTTACACCAAGCAGCAGGTCTTGGACAAGCGGAACAAGACTGGTCGCAAAAACAAGAAGAACAAGAAAGCGGAGGAGGTTGATGAACCCGAACCTAAAGGGGCGAGGGGTAGTAGAAAGGCGGCTCAGCCCAAGGCAAAAGCCAAGGGCAAGGCCAAAGGTAAAAGGACCGAGGCCGAGCCTGATGCTGCCGAGGAGCAGCCTGTGAAGCAAAAGCGCAAGCGAAAGGATCGCGCTGCATGAGCCAAGCTCCACGGCCGATTCATTGCGATCATGTTACATCGTGTGCGGGACTACCTGCAATGCGAGCTTTACACAGTTTAAGAGTGAATATGCGTTTGCTGTACATGTGATTTGCTTTTGAGGAGGCTTGAGAACAAGCCAGGGTGCTGCATGTATCTGAACATGCTGGGGATTGCAACTCGTACAGCTCGTGGCCGGAAAACTGTGTGTTTTGATCTCTTCCTGATCCCTATCCACAACCCTAAATCCCAATACGGTCCTTATACACAGAGTTCGATACTGTTCATGCCAGGTCCATCACGAAAAGCAAAATTTCTCGCGTGGAAGTACGGGCGAGGAGATGCTTGGCGTTCGCGATTTGTTCGGTGTGTGGTGACATAAAAGTCAACATGAGGCCATGTTGTGCATCGTTCCTTGTTTTCCTGCAGGGGTACTTTTGGGTGTCTGAACACTCTTCACTTTTGGGAGCCTGTGGACCGGAAAGGCCTTAGACCTTGGGACAACCTCCACTAAGGATTCTTGCGTGGACATTGTTCGGTCAGCGAAAGCCAGCATCAATGACTACCAGGAACAAGTCAGGGATGGATATACAAACAGTCTGGTATGTCCGGTCTTGAGGGCCTTGCATTCAGTTCCAGATGCCCACGCAGAGGCTTTGGTGCAAGATGGACAAGCTAACTTATTGCATTTTTGTGTGCCCCAAACGTTGTTACGCCAAATGTTGCTTAGTTTTCAGACCCATCTTTCCTCTTTCAACGCAATTCGTGGATGAGGAAGAGTGCGTGTCCAAAGTCTTTGAGTCATGGGGTATGACTTTTCCAGTTGCACTGAGCTATGACCCTGTTGGAGAGTATGCTCAGTTTCCGTGGATTCGTCCTTCAACCATGTTACGAGCTTTGGCATCGACCGGGGATTTCCGTTTCTTAATGGGAGGATTTCAAACCATGCAGAGCGCGAAAGCTGCCTTAGAAGAATTTTGGGCCAGATATGAATCTGTGTACCCACAACATGGCATTTTCCGCAAAGTCCGTGAGTCGAATGGCCAAGTTCGACTATCTCAATGCTTGCCGCTGTCAATCCACGGGGATGAGGGGACGACATACAAGCGCAATGGGGTGTTGGTGATTCAGTTCGCTGGCATTTTGGGATTTGGAAGTCGTAAGACTGAAGAGAGCATGAAAGACTGGGAAGACGATGTAAAAGCTTGCGGGATTCCTTTGAACCTGATCAAGAACGCTTTCCAAACCAGATTCCTGAGTGTTCTTTGCCCCAAGGACAGGGACGTGGTTTGTTGGAACCCTTCATGAAAGCCATGGTTTGTTGCTGCCTCCCAAAAGATACTCCAACTTTTCCATCAAGAGTGAATTGACCTGCACAGGAGGTGTACCAGTACGACGATGAGGCCTACCAACAACTCATCAGGCTGGTGGTGGCTGATTGGAAGAAGCTCCAAGATGATGGTTTCGAGACCATTAATCAGGGCAAAGTATACCCTGTGATTCTGGGCAACAAGGGTGACTGGAGTTATCTTGTGCCCAGGTTCGTATACTAGAGCAATTTTTCCCGCTTCTATAGTTGTGGGATGAATAGGGTTCATGCACTCAGTCAGTCTTTGCAAGCTCGGTCTGTTACCATTGGCGTTTGGCTTGTCAGGTCTCCGCAGCAGGCTTGCTTCGATCCTACAGGAGGGCACCAAAGGGTGCGAGGCAGGCCAAGCAATACATGGATGACCCACCTGGCATTTGCCACTTGTGCATGGCTGGCACGAGCGCAGGTGACTGGGAGGACCTGATTCTAGGCTTGTCTGAAGCAACTCTTTCTTGTGCGATCCTGTGTTGGTATAGGGCCATGTTTGTTGTGAAATGATTTGACCATGAGCGCAGTTTTGTCAGGAAGGTCGCTGAGCGCCTCATTAGACATGCTCGAACTGCCCCGATCCCGGCGCCGTGGGATGAAGTGCCTCCGTTTGGAGATCTTCTTCATGATGAAGCTTGTGGTGGTTTGGAACGCTACCATCGGATTGATATTTGGCACACTTTCCACATGGGTATTGGGAAGGCCTGGATCAGTTCAAGCATGCGGCATTTGCAGTTCCTCACAGGTCAAAGCAATGTCGACCTGAGAGTTGATGCATTGAACTCCGACTTCACGGACTTCTGCGCCGAGCATAGGAAGGTCAAGTATCTGAGGAGGCTGGAGCCAAACACATTTGGCTTGAAATCGCAGGAGCCAAATGGATCTTGGAACAAGGCCCACATCACTGCCACGCTCATGGAATGGATGGAGTCTTTCATGAGTAAACACCGTGACACGTGCATGGAAGATGAGCTCCTTCGCTACATTGTAGCCTGTCTGTCCCAGTGAGGCTTTTTCAAGTGTTTTGTACTGTGGCTCTATCTCTTTTACTGATATGTATCGATGGCGCATTTTTTAGGTCGGTGGTCGAAGCAAAGCTCCTTGTCTGAGCTTCTTGATGTTTTGCACATGTAAGGTCAGCGGGACTGCGGCCATGAATCGGTTCATGAAGGGCTTGCACGCCGAAGGCATTTGGATCCCTCGAGATCGAGCGCTCAGTCTGGCCAAAGACGGCAGGCACTTCATCGAAGCATACACGTATCTGGCCTATCGATCTCTCTCTTCGAGTCAGACGCTATACCCTCTCTTTCCCAAGTTGCACATGATGCTGCACGTTATGGAAGAGATGGTGCACCAGTCTTCTCGCTCACAGTGGGTTTGGAATTGTTTGTGCGATGCATGTTACATCGAAGAAGATTTCGTAGGTCGTGTATCGTACCTCACCAGGTGCGTGAGTGCACGCACTCAAGCTTATAGAGCTTTACAGAGGTACTTGGCTCAGCTCAATGTGTGCTTGAGCTTCAGGTGAACGCCGTCCAGGGGAACAAGGGCGGTTGGAAAAGGGATTGGTGAGTCCGGGGTCCGGGTCATGTGCATTTATACATGTTCACGACTATGTTCAGGTTTACATCATGCAGTTACAGGTGTTCCACATGTTTTGAACACAGTGTTGTGAACAATGCCCTTCAAATAACCATAATAGAAAACATCAATTTCCCGAATTTCCCGAATTTCTTGAAGCTAATGATGTTTACATGCAATGCACTTCATGGACGAAAATCTCAGCAGAATACGAAGATAAGCGATCCATACGATTCTTGAAGCGTAATTGACAACTTAAGTGCTTATTCTGATCATAAGTTGAAATTTCAACACGATTGGAGGACCAGGTACTACTACTACTACTACTACTACTACTACTACTACTACTACTACTACTACTACTACTACTACTAGTCATGCCCTCGTTCCTAGTAGCGATGCAATTTGTTTCTAGTAGCTTCTTACCCCTGAACGTCATCAGCATCCCATACAGTCCCATACTCTCCCGTCCAGTCCTTCATCTTGCGACTTGGTCGCACCACAAATCTGATTTCCCATGAGCAGCCTCTGAGGTCTTCGACCAAGGCTGAAAAAAGAACGAACCCTTAAGCGTCCTGGTTGTGTTCAAATATGCGCGCACTGCTTGGCACGATGTTGAGCCGAAAACTTATTACATGCAAACACAATAGCCCGCTGCAGGAGCAAATCAAAACACCCCCAGATCTCTTCTAAAATCGCATTCTGTATGTTAGAGATCAATACCTAATGCAAGAACTAAGAACTCAGACCTGTCCCAGCTTCGAAACGAAGGCAGGCCAGGAGCCCAAACGGGAATGACTAGTCACGTACCATTGCTGTCAACCAACAGAGGTTGAAGAACCCTAGTTCGACTATCCCAGTTCGGTACCTCAGTAGGGTGCGTTCGTTCAGGTCACTCTCCACCTCTCTTGGAAAAATCAGGAGGCTCCAGGCTCTCCACCCTCCCTCCGATGTCGACTCGAGGTCTCCAGGAGCACCGGAGGGAGGGTCCCCAGACCGATCCTCGACTCTGGGACGTGAGTCGAGACTGCGGGACGGGCCAGGACGAACGTCGAAGAAGCGTGAACAGATCTGGGCGTTTGACCGTGCAAAACATGGAGTGCATCCCAACGCAGAAACCGTGAAGGTACCAATTCACTTGTTGAAAACAACACTGATGTGGCTGCAGTTGACAAAAGAACTATCGCCCCAGTGATTTTCAAGAGCATGGGCATGGTCCCCTGCAGAACCTGAACGGCGTGATTTCTTGACCCCTAACCCCGAACTATCATTCCCAAGCACTCCATGTATGGAATATATGTCTACCTTGACCCCCCAAACCCACCCAATGTATATGGCAGTCCCAGGAAGCGTCTGGGATTGGAACCTGGGGGAGAACGGCTCAGACCTGACGCCAAGGTGAACCGAGCTGTCGAGCTCCACCGGTTCGTTGTTCGCGATCCACTTTTCAGGTGGTATAGGTGTCCCGAACACGACCTGTCTGGGACTATATATTGCATACTAGGACCCACAAAGAGTGGTAACCTCTAAGGGGTTATCAATAGACACCCCTTAGGGTGTCCTGGTATACCTTGTTTTTGAAATTGATGGTAAATGTATATTGTAAATGTGGGTAAACATGTCCCCTAGAGGCTCCTGGCCCATAGCCTCAGGTTCGGTGGGCACAAACCCCCTAGACCACCCACCCCTGGCCCAGCGGCCAGGAGCCCCAGGGGTCAGTCCCACCAGTCGTGTCCGGGTTTGAGATGGTTTTCGGGCGCTTCGACCGATGGTTTTGGGCGAACCGGCGAAGCCACCGCTGCCTTCCGCCGGCTCGAAAGCTGAGCTGAACGCCGAAACTGACACCTAGAAGGAGTTCCTGTGTAGTAGTAGGCCAATCCCAAAATATAGGAGATGCAGGTGATTCATAAAAACCAGCCACCCAGCTTGCGAACACGGCCAGCACATAAAAATCTTTCCGGGTTTTCCGGATCCAGAAGTGTGAAAGAAGTGGATGCATCTTCTTGTGACCTTAAACATCTTCAGAACACTATAGGCTTGTGATGGCTTGTGCCTGAGCTCAGCTGGGCGGGCGAATCGATGAAACCTCCCTGTTTGGCCGCCTGAAACCATCTCACAGCGCTGCCTTTTTTCGACATCCTCATGACGTTCTTCTGGCTGAAGTCGACGATTTTCTCGTTTTGCATATGATCCATGCCCCCAAGAAGCAAGCACCCTGTGGCTCCGCCCCTTTTGATTCATAAATTCCTAAAGCACATGCGGAACAAAAACCATGAAAGACCGAAGACCCTTTGGCATTACAACACTTTCTGGACGGGTCAACTGCATCTGACGTTGCCGCGTCCCCTGAAATCTGCAGGCTGAAGGGAGTCAAACACACAGGTGGCGAAGCCGATGTTGCGTTGACACCGAGGAGCCTCCGATCTCTACCAGGACCTCCAATGGGTGTCCTGGCTGGACTACCCTAAACTACTTAATCAGCAAGCTCCATTGGACACCCATTTGATGGTCCAGGTAAAGGAAGTTTAGGGACCTCCTCAACACGGAATCAAATACAAAGTGCACTCGAATCCCGAAACAGGTGCCTCAGACCACACAGGGGCTGGACCATGAGGGATGATCAAACTTTGCTGTTCCCCAGTAACAAATCCGTGAGGCTAGCAGCTAGCATATATATATATATATATTTACTATATATTTACCTATAGAGAAATTGGGTTGTTGATGTTGAAAGGTTTTAAGGGTCGAGTCAAGTATAGTATAATAATACAATATTCCAAGATATGGATGGTCTCACATGGACACCTATGGTTTTCGGACATCTGGCGATGGTCGGCCCGTCGGCCTCCCTAGGCTTCTCCCCACCTCTGGCATCCACAATCAACCCAACACAGCTCTCCTCAATGATGTCGATCTTCGGACTGTACCTGTGGGTAGATGTTGTGGCATATCCCTGTTGGTTTTTCACTTGGGGGTATCACCTCTTTTCATCAACCAACCGATCTCAGAGTAACTTGGGTACAAGATGGTACAAGTTATATAGAGAGTCATTTCAGTCATGTCCCATTTTCTAAGGTTCTTTGGACGGTCCAGGAATAGTGAATAGTGAAGCGGCCATCTATGGCCCTACTTTGCTTTGAGCATCCCTCATGCACTCTGCACATTGCCACTCCCCATGGCTTGACCTACGTTCGTAGGATGCTTTCCATGCGGGAAGAGATGAAGATCTGCCGGCAAGTCCGACAAAGATTCGGGTTTGGGTCTCAAAATCTGGGCAGTTGTTCATCTTGAAGGCTCCATTGTCCAGGCACTTCCAGGCCTTCAATTGGCCAAATCCATTTTGAGACACACCCATGTTGGCCATTCCAGTTGCCTCTATGTCAGTACCTTCAGCGAATGTGCATGCTTACCTGAATCTGACCTGCTTCCATGCAAGAAAGATCTGCACAAAAACCATAAACAAGTTCCAACAAGGGCTTCCTCACCTACCAATTGCCGCAGTTCTGCTATTCCAAGGCCCTGGAAGGCTAGCTTTCCTTGCAGCTTACAACCTGAGCCACGCTTGTAACTTCTCATTGATTCTTGATCAAAAGCTCATGAGCTCGTCGACGACGGCCTGGTGCCCCTGAGCAGATGCTAACATCACTGGCAGATCCCCTCGAGCATTGGCAATAGATCTGTCAGCTCCTGGCGCAGGCCGCAACGGCGCGGAACGGCGCAAAGGCTTCGGAATGCATTTTGATGTGCTCTATCTGGAGGACGGCCATGGCCAATTGTGCTGGTGTCTGTTTTGTAGGAATTCCCATTGGATGTTTTTAAGGGATCCACGGATCCAGTTTCTCAGAAGCTATACTTGGACCCTCCAAGCTTACATACAAGTGTTTCCAATAATCCTCAAGTGTGGATTCATAGATGGAGTGTCTGGGACAGGCACAACTGCATGGCAGAACTTGCCACTGTGACGATCTGACTGACTGGTGGTGGAGTTTAACATGCTCGTCGACGAACTGTATGTCAGAGAAGACCAGAATCTTCAGTTATCAGAAATCCCATCGATTTCACCACACATTTCGCACCCCCCCAAAAAACACACACACCTTTGAACATGGTCAACTCATGTCAGCGAGTTAGGGCGGGCTACGGCCTCATGGATGGCCTGCGCCGTTCAAGAACGGACTGAGACCGTGGGTCCCCCGGAGCCCCCACCGCTCGTTCGACCGGTCCGGGGGGGTCCGAGTGCGGTGAGCCGCTTCTTCGAAACCAGGAGTTCCTGCGTTCTTCATGACGTCTCCAGTGAGTTCCTGCTTTTGAGTTCTGAAAAACCAGTGACTCGGTCTTTTGATCTGAATCTTCTCTTAACCAGATCCCCAGGGTCACGAAGTACACCAGCTAGTTTAGCGCCCTTTGGTCGAAGAGTTTAGCGTCTTCTTGATGTGTGTTCTTTCCCACACACTCCATGGGACTGCCATATATATGCCTACATTGGTGTGGTGCCAGAGGGGTCAATGTAGGCTAAGATTCCATACATGGAGTGTACCATTGCATATCCATGGTTAGCCATGACAAATGATATACACTCCCCAAACCAACATGGACCCTCAGAAGGTCCATGTTAATCTTCCCTCGTCCCGGGTGTGTATCTCGAAGAAAGTCAGGCTCAGCCGGGGGAGAGAACCACCCGGCATATGGGAACAAGCAAAAGCAGCCAGCTCCTGCTTCCAATAGGCACCTGGTCAAAGAATGATCACCTGGCCGCTCTCCAGGAACCCTGGGACAAAAATACTACCGCTTCCCCAACCCCCCCCAAAAAAAACCTAGGGACACCAAGTACCTTCTCAGCAGCTGATTGGACCCTCCTGGCACCTACATTACGGTGTCTCCAATCACCTGCTGAGAAGGTACGAAAACGGATCCCTAGGGAACTATCACCTCAAGCCAAACCAGGTCACCGAAAAATGCAGCCATGCCCAAAGGTGTGATTCCCTCCAGGCTTCCGAAGAGTTTGGTGGCCGCAGACAAGGATCCAAAGTCCGACCTGAAGAGTTGCGCCCCAGAAAAATCAGGTGAGCGGTGTCAAAAACCATCAGGTGAGCGGTGTCTGACGTTGCTCAGTGTCGCAAAGACATGCCGTTGTTCAAGCAGACCTTTAGATAGTCGACAAGGAAACGTACGTACCTCGGACCCGAAAAAGACTGGGTATAGATACTTCTGGTACCGCCCGGGACGCTGTTGTTTGTTCTGGTCATGTCCCATGTTCCTACTTGAAGTCGGGTGTGCTACCTGCATCGAGTCGACCTGTTCGTGACCTCGAAGCATGGGCACCATCGTAGCCATGAGCCGATACATGGACCCGGGGTCGAATGGCACCCTGAAAGACTGCATGCTTTCCTTTACCCCTACGCCTCCAGTCGTACCTTCGTTTCGAAGGTGGGACTGGGGTGGGTGCCAACAGGGTCCAGTCATACCTTCTAAGGAGGTACGACTGGAGGTGTAGGGTACCAACATGTACCAACGAGTGGTTTTCAGGGTCCATGGGATCGTTCAGCGGACCATCTATGGTCCGACCTGCCATGTTTTACGAGTCTCGAGGTCTTGGCCTAGAACGAACCTCAGCTCAGTGCTTACACCCGGAAGATGGACCTGCAAAGAAGACGATCTTCCTCTACCAGGACCATCCTGTCAGCGTGCCCTGTCTGGAAGCCAGTGTGGGGTAGTCCAGCCAGGACACCCAGGTCCAGGATGGTCCTGGTACAACCCCATGTCTTTCAGGTTCCATGTGGATCTCTTCTGTCCCTGCCAACTCGGCGGCCTGGCCGCCTCGAGAGGCACAGCGAAAGAAGGAGGCGAGAAGAACCCAAAGTAAAAAGCAAATTGGTAAACCAAGATGCATGTTGGAGATCATCTGGGAGCTATGGCACATGCATGCAAAAATGCCAGTTCCTGCTGTCGACACTTGCGCGTCGACATCAGCTCTGTGTTCCAGGAGCAGCTGGGCCTTCTCCACAGATTGGCGCTTGGAACAGGCGGTCAGCGAATGCAAGGGGTGGACCCCAGCGTTGGTGGGATTCACTTCCTTAGGGCGCCGTGGCGCGCCGTGCGTGTTTCCCCGAACGGAAAAGAACCATGATGTTCTACCATCAGCCAATCCATGCCAATCCTTAAAACGTCTTAAAACCAGGTGTCGCACCGCTTGGCGATCATCTCCGCCACGGTGTCTGGGCCGGCCCAGCAAGCGACACTGACGAGTGGAGGGTGTCGGAAGCAGCCCATGCTTTCCAAATCCTTGCAACGGACGCGCAGGAACCCCGCAGGAACCCCGCAAGCAGCTGGTTAGGACCATTCCATTCATTCCGAAGATATCATACAAACCCGTCTCGTCTTTTTTTTTGAACTGGTGTTTTCAATGCTTGGTGGTGCAACATAAAGGTCACTTAGCACTATAAACATGAGTCAAAACGAAGAAACTTCAATCACTCGAAATTATACTTAAATGTGCCACATCGATCGCGCAATATGTGTATGGCGATGCGAAATAAACATATGTACCAAGTCATTCTCAAGTAGAGGCCTGCAGGTGCTCGAACCAACACTCCATGTGCAAGTGACAAAGTCAAAATCAACAGTTCCTTCAATGGAAATGGCTTATCAAGGCTTTCGGCTTTCTTGTGAGCATTTTGGCAAGGGTGAGTGTATACCTATGTCCATCCCCGCTTGATCCATCATTCAGTTTAAGCTTTGACAAATAGAAGATTCATGGGGGTCTCCCACATATGTTCCATAATCATTCCCAAACACTGCATGGGACATGGCACTGGCATTTATCCATGAGTGTGTGTATAAGAACATAGGAAGACCTCCCAGTTCAACCCCCAAAAAAGGAACCTCAACCAAACAAACAATGAAATATCCCTATAGGGATCCACTGCCACCGTACCTCAGGTTCGGTATGACTGGGCCCTCCTGGCGCTTACATAAATCGTCTCCAATCACATTCTGAGAAGGTACTTGGATCCCTAGGGTTTCATTTTAGACCATTTCACCACGTTTGAAGCGGATCAAAAACCAACACCGGCTATGAACATCCACGAAAACGCCGAAGCCGCCGTTTCGTAGCGAAGCCGGTCCGGTTCGCCCAGGGTCGACCTTCGCAGCGGCCAGGACCTGCACTTGCCCGGGCAATTGAACCCAATGAGCCACCTGCGACCCAAAGCGGCTGCCGGCCGTCAAATCTGCCTCGGCCAAACACGGGGGGCAGAGTAGGGGGCCTCGGCGGCAGAGTAGCGATGAGGTGGCAACCAAACTGCAAAAGCCAAGCCGGACGTGAGAAGAGCCAAGTAGAAACACACGATCCATGATCCATGGTGCTCAACCGACCGGCTTTCAATTCATGGACCCTTTAAACTTTAGAGATCACAAATATACTTGGTGAGGTAGTTGGACCTTCCGCAGCCAGCACCTGATCAATGGATTTCGGGAGATCCTATGAGAGGATTCAACCTTTCGAAGCAAAAGAACGCACTCGAAGCCCACTCGAAGCCCGGGTGATTGTTCGACGTGCGAGCGCGAGCGCGCACCACAAACCCGACAGTTCCGCGCGTAGAGCTCAACCATCCCTATGGATCCACATACCTTCTCAGAAGGTACTTGGACCCTCCTGGCGCCCACATAAATAGTCTCCAAATACCTTCTGAGGAGGTACGACTGGATCCATAGGGCATGCTTTAGACTCTGACCGTTCCAAATGACTCTCGACCGTTCCGCTCAGCCACTCGCAGCTCAATGAGCGTTTGCAGCACCGCTGGATCTTGCTTCCACCTGGCTGCAATCATCAGCGGTGTGTGGCCACTGGGCTGTCGGCAAATCTTCTCCAGGTTGTAACACCTGTCGACTCAAATCTTCGAGTCCGAAATTGTGACGTGCCAGGAGGGTCGAAGTATACCTTCTGAGAAGCTACTTGGATCCCTATACAGGAAGTAAGTACTCACCTCCGTTCGACCATCCGAAGTGCGGACGGTATACCCGACCAAGAAAAACCTCGCACGGTGGAACGGGACGGAGCATCCAAAGAACCAATTGCAGTTGCTACTAGTCGCTTCTTGTTCCTAGTAGTATAGTATACTGCGTCCGATCGCCCCGTTCGTAGCGTCCGATCGCTCCGTTCGGGCTGCGATGCCCGAAAGGCTCCGTTCGTAGCACTTGTCCTCCTGATTCCAGTGGATCCGATTCGGGCTGCCACCAGGAGGCCCGGTGCTCAGATCCACTGGCACCCTCTACTTCGTATCTCGGTGATGTGTTCGACGAAGTCATTGATCGGCGCCCGCCATACGAACCGGGTCGGTAGACACATCCGAAACTGCTGAGGCCATTGCAAAGCAACATCCACAGCCCATCCGATGTTGACTTTCTCAGCTCGTTTCATATGAGGTTTAACAATGTTGAACAAAGGGGTCCAAAGCACTAAACTGTCTGGAAAAGAAAAGTAACAGCTTTTTAATTATGAACACCCATCTAAAAGACCTCTTGGGGGTACCAGTGCCATTTCTCACCTCTGACACTGAAACTACTGTACATAGATGTGCATCCGGCCACCCTGTGGCTTCTCTCACCCCGTCGCGGCCAGTCCGCGGCCGATCGTCCGCTGCTACGGAACCCGGAACCGCCTGAGGTTCACATCCGCCATGCTTTCGACCAAGGTCCGAATCATCTGCACATCACCCGAAAGGACGGCACAAAGCAAGCCAGGCATGGAGCTCGTCTCCTCCGGAGCGTCTTGTCAGGACGAAGTCCGGCCGAGTCCCTCCTCGATCGTCGACGAGAACGGAGGGGAGGGAGCTCTGTGGGGTCGCAGGCAGGATCCTTTCCGGGATCCAGTCGTAGCTTCTCAGGTGATTGAAGAAAATGGTGCCAGGAGTTTCCAGTCGTACTGAACATGAGTTTCGGTACGAAAACGGAATCCCTAGCGGTTTTTTTTTGTAGCGTTTGTTGTTAACACGACTCGGTACGACTCGGGACTTGCAGATGACTCCGGGCCAGGGCGGCATTGCCATCCCCAGTCCCATGAAATGTCTCGGGATTGAAGATCTGTCTACCTGGCTTGGACAATGTTAAGGCTGTTAGGGGTTCCAACACTCCCAAACACGACCTGTCTGGGACTGCCATAGGACTGCCGCCCCATTGCCCCCCAGTCAACCACCCCAACTGATCGGCATATATGACCCCAACTGATCGGCATATATGGCATACATGGTGTCTGGGACTGTTGGATCCGGCCTACTGAACGATCTCGATGAAACGTCGTGGGAGTGAGGGGTCTTTCAACATCTTTATATAAGAACCTGGGCTCTTCCTTCGGTCTAAGATCCGCACCTTGGGACAGATCGGCCACTCCTCAATTGCTGGACCCGTAGTTCAGACAGCAGCATGGGTACTTGATGGTACTTGGTACCAGGGCCCACCCGGTTTCGGGTGTCCATGAAATAGCCCAAGTGGTATGACCTTCTCCAGCGAAGTGAGGTCTTTGACCTGCAGGCTTAAGAATGCTTAGAGGTAGTTTCTGACCCATCAAAACCCCGCTTTGTAACGCGCAAACTCCCACGTCGCATACATTGCAATCGCAAAAATCCTCGAGGGTCTGGCTTTTGAAAACCACAGGTCGATCTTGACCGTTTGCTCTTGCTTCCCACATGTCTTCCAACTCAATGACCTTTGCAGCCCGGAACCCATCACCTTGGGTGCCAAAACTACCCCCACTCCCAAGCAAACTCCCTCGGAGCTGTCCCCGGGGCTGTCACACCAGCGAAAACAGCACACGACTTCCGCGCGACTTCAAACCAATCCTGAGCAGCCTCCTGCAGGCTAGAAAAATGAAACTGTCGCAGAAACTCGCTGGAAGTCCAGGATGACCGCATGGAGTTGGTGCTCCTTTCTTGGCTCCTGCGCTCGATCAGCGGCGAACGTCTAGTTACGGAGAAGAAGGAGCTGAAGTGGATTCGTCTGGGAATACGAAGTGAAGCGATCCTTGGAAGACGACTGATAGGACTGGAATACTGTAATATGCAATATAATCCCTAGGGCTCCAAGGCTCCAAGTACAGTACCTTCTGAGGTGTTTGGGGTGGGTGGGTTTGGAGAGTCCAAATACCTTCTGAGGAGGTACTTGGAGGTGTAGGGCAATATAATGATTAAAGTGTTGTATACCTCGAGTCTCAAAGTAAATTGGAAGCCTGGGTGCAAGTACCTGTTTAGTTCTTTTATAGCGTCATGTCCCATTTTGAAAGGTGCTTTGGAGGGTCCAGGAACAATACACCCTAAGAATCAAGAACCCTCAAAGGTGAAGGTTTTGAGGGTCCAACCACCATAGGAGGGTCCAATGATGCTGAGGGCATATTATATCAAGCGCAGCTTGCACCTGCTCAAGTCCTCGGGACTGGGAGCTCTGGCGACGAGTTATAAAGACTGACAGGTCGGATGCACCTTCGATGACTGGCAGTGGCGAGACAGCCAACTGTCACAATGCCTGCATTGCATTCTATTCACCAGGACTTGGAGGATTGTCTCATGATCCAAAAAACGATGGCTGGTCTCCAAGTCTCTTTTATATATTTCATACATTCCCTGAAATCATGGTTAGGTGGATGGCACCACCTCTTTGGTCTTCGCGACATGGCCATACTTTTGGGGCCATCCCTGGCCCGATCGGGCTGTCTATCCCATTCCCGTCGACAGGCTAACAGGTGTGTGGGTTTGGAACATGTGGTCGTGTTTCGTTGGATCTCTTTGGTCGGAAAGATCTGCCAGTTCATCCAAAGTCCCGGAATTTGGACACCGGAAGGAAGGAAGGAAGGAAGGGCAGCTGGGTTCTTTAGAAGGTTGTTCCGCGGTGACGAGGATTAATCCACTGGACTGTGAGTGACCTTGGACCACCCAACACCTAGAATACAGCCTTTTCCGATCAAAACAAGGTCAACTGGGTTCTAGGAATATGAATGTGATAAAATATGATCATTACAGTGGATAGAGAGTAGATGGCACAAACCTCTCAAGATGTCCTTTAGATAGGAGTTCATATAGACCACCTTTTGGGGGTTTGGGCCATCTACTCTGAAGCAACTGTAATATGTTTAGTATGTTCCACACTTCATTCAGGTCCGAAAGCTGCCTCTGGCTAAGTTCACCGCTGCTCCTGGCCAGTTTGAATTGCCCGGTGACCAAATAGCGGAAATATGCCAACGAGCCGGTCTGGCTCTCATGCTGAATCTTCATCGCAACGGACTTCCGGACCAGCTCTGAAACCATCAGCCGATCTTCCTGGCGAACAACTTTCAGGTATGAAACTTGCCAAACAAGGTAATCTATTTGGATATGAACGCATAATCTAGCTGCACCAAAGAACATAGATGATAATCATGTTTGCTTTCAGAGACTTGAACAGCCAGGAAATCTATTTAAGGTGGAGTAAAAGGAGTCAGTTGATTGGGCGTCTGCGTCCTCCACTGTGAAGTGGCTTTGTGAAACCGCATCCCAATCAATCTGCCAGGAGTTCAGTTCGGCATGCCTTGCAGAATGAAGGGTAATGATCGTGGTGTCAGGCTTGTTGGACAATTGTTGGCACAGCAGCTCAGAAATACACCATCCCCTCAGCTGCCAAGACGTGGAATTGCAAATCATTCCAGTGTCCCGATGAAAGAGTTCTGGCGCCAGGATCACGAACAAATTGCATCTCTCCACATATGCTGGAATACTGTCCACAGCCTTTGCTGCCTCAGCCTGTTTCACATCATCTTCTTCCTCATCGAAGACCCTCGTCCTTGAGATGGCCTGTGGGACACCAAACCAATCAAACCTCAGCTCTGTCACCATTCGGACGGTGTAACGACGAGCAATCAGAGGTTTTCAGAACCCGACTTAGACGATCCCAGTTCGGTACCCCAGCAGGATCCTTTTTCAGATCACTTCACCTCTCTTCATCGGTCCCGTGTTTCTGGCATGTCCAAATTGAGGGGTTCAACCACCAGCGCAAGTTGGTCATAACATACGCTCAATGCTTTTTAGCATAGTTATCACAATCATTGGGGATCATGGGGGATCCTCTTCTTTTGTCTTCAAGCATAAGAAACCAAACGAAACCAATCACACCGATGCCGACCCGTCCTGACTGGGGAAACACCTAGCTACAGTCAAACCAACTAGCTACATGACAGGTACTATCCCTAAAGCTCCTGGCCTGCCTTCGTTTCAAAGCCGGGCCAGGGGTGGGTTTACGGGGGTCTAACATGGTCTAACCACCTGAGGATATGGTCGGAGCCCTATAGGGAATATGGGTGGTCGACCTCCTTCGACCTTCCAGGCGTTCCGACCTCCCAGGAGTTCGGGCAAATCGACCAGCCTACCTAGCGCTTGCGCGTCCGGCCAGAGTCCGGGACGTCTCCCCCCAAGAGTCCGGCATACAATCCCTAGGGGTCTGTTTTCGTAGCGAACCTCAGGTTCGGTACGACTGGACCCGACTGGCTGGCACCTACATAGCGGTGTGTCCCATCACCTGCTGAGAAGGTACGACTGGATCCCTCAAAAATAGGCATACACACACGTCGTACCCTCCCTGGAAGAAACATGGATCCACCGCCACCGTACCTCAGCAACTGGAGCCTCCTGGCACCTACATAAATGTCTCCAATCACCTAGCCTGAGAAGGTACGACTGGATTCCTTTATAGGGAAGGTATGGGTTCATTCCAGTTCCTTCCAGTGGCGTCCGATCTGACAAAAAACTGCCATGAATCCAAGCTCCCCAGACGAACCCATGGTCCATGAGTCCGAGCCCATGGTTCAGACATGTTCAGACTCTTCTCATCCTACCAATCTACCACCCCAGTGGGGAAATCAGGGTTCATGTTACTCTTCATTTGAATCTGCAGAGAATGCACCAGCACCATCCAGCACCATCCAGCATCTGACGTCCCATAGCCGGCATCTATTTGCCTACTCTGGTGATTTCAATGTACGGTCCGACCGTCCCATCGGAGGAAGACTTAGCACACGGTCCCGGACCTAGTCGAAAAAAACCAGGGGTCACGGCGCCGGCACACCTTCGTGGTTGACCCCAACATGAAGCGATTCCTCGGTATGTTATTTTAATTTGGAGACCATCAGCGGATCGTGGTCCTTCTCACTTCGTTGGAGGTCTCCCAAATTTTAAGACGGCCATATCAACCTACAGGTTTCCCCTGTCCGATGGTCGTTTTGCAGGCCGTGTTTGTTCACGAACCTTAAACAGGGGGCCGGTGGATCGAGTGGATCTTCAAACAAATATATATACAAAACAATACCTAGGACCTGATTGACCCCTGTTTTGGAGCCAAAACATGGTCTTTTCCTATCAAAACAGAGGTCAAATGGGGTCTAGGTATATATATACAAAACAATAAAACACTGGGAAGGGTAAAACAAAAGGTCCGTGTCAGAAGCCACGCAATTGGTTTGGGAGACCTCTCGTGGTCTCCGGTCACCTAGTCGTGGTTAAGGTAACAATGCCAGTTTAGGTCTTGAGTTGAGTGAACAACATCTCCAAAGACATATGTACCTAGCGCTTCCTGTCGGGGTGTGACCTACAAGCAGTGTACCCTATGGATCCACATACCTTCTCAAAAGGTAATTGGACCCTCCTGGCGCCTACATACATAGTCTCCAAACTATACCTTCTCGGAAGGTATGTGGAATCCATCCAGGGGCATGTCCGGTGTTCCCGCACGGAAAGCAGGTCAGTATACCAACCTCTTCCCACCGTTCTTCCGCCACCAAAAAGGACGTGACCGGGTGGGACTGATGGACCTGGCCGAGCGACCAAAGGTAGCCCTCGGGCAGGCGGGTCCTCAGTTCGTGAGTGGTGTGGGTCTCATCCACAAAGAAGACCCAATAGCCATCCAAACTCCTCAGCGAGCAGTCACTTGGAAAGAATGAATGCGATGCAAAGACAGCATGGCGGTCATGTTTTTGTTTAACTGGGTTGGGTGTGAAGGCTGTTGGTGGGAGAAACAAGTGGACACTCCGTTGCAGTCACGCGTCACATAGAAGTGGATCGCACCCCTATATCCTACAGGAAAGTCGTCCTCCTTTCAGGACCATGTCATCAGTGTACGTACACCGCGTTCGACCGGTCGAGCGATCGCGTCGCGTCCGCAGAAAGGGCTTCCCCCTGATGCTGCATGACGTCCTGGTGAGAAGGTGGTCAATAACTGTGATGCGGAGGAGGTTCCACTCAATGATGTTCTTTTGTAATAATAGAGGGGTCGATTTGGTACCATGTTGGTTGTTCACTTGGGGTATCACCCTTTGTATCATCCACCCAATAGTGAAAGGCCATCTATTGTTCCACTACCGTCTCGGTTCTTGTTTTGATTTACAGCCTAGCTGTTGACACAGCTGGGGCGCGGCTCGTTCTTGGGCTTGACCCCAGCTGTATTATGCACATGTTTTCGCAGGGATGTGCAGGGTGATTAGATCCGTTCTCATTTTCCAACAATAGAACCCTAGGGATCCAAGTACCTTCTCAGGTACGGTGATGTGAGACCAACACTGTCATGTCGGTGCCAAAACGTCGGGTCCAGTCGTACCGAACCTGAGGAGAAGGTACGACTGGATCCTTAGGGGAAATGGATCCCGGTCGCTCGTCGGCCGACTCTCTGCACCGAAGGTTTTAGTGCACCGAAGGTTAGTCAGATGTAGATGACGTATTGTTCTGCTGGAACAGTTCTAGCCAAGCAAGAATCAAATGGAAGTAGACTTCTTCAGCTCCCAGATGAATCCTCTCATCAACCCAAACCTGAAAGCATCTGAAAGCACAGCCCGCCACATCCATGAAAGCACGGGCCCACCAGCTCTGAACCAGCTTTTGTTTGTGCCAAGATTCAAACGTAGAGATCCATCCATGAGTCCCTCCAGTGCTAACCGCAAGACCTCCATCTGCTGTCCACCTGGGTCCGGATGTAGCCTGCAACACGGCGCATTGCGCGTCCGAGCTCGGCGCCGATGGTGTTCGTCGCCGATGGACCAAGGGCTGGTGTGGGTGTCACCCTCGTCCGAACAAATCGGACACACTGCTTGCCCCCTGCTTGGAAAAACCCAACGAGTTCCCAGCTGTGATTCCAACGGGTTCCACACACACTTATCCACACACCTGGACCCCCAGTCGAGTCGGGGTGGATTCATGGAGAAACCCCCGCGTCACCAGGACAAAAGCGGTGGCACATGTACTCCATGGACACCTGGAATGCGTGGTGGCACATGGTGGTCAGTGGTCGATTAATCCATTTAACATAACCCGTTTGGCCTCCAGTCTTGCCGTATCGTTTCGAAGGTGGGACTGGGGTGAGTGCCAGGAGGGTCCAGTCATACCGAACCTGAGGAGGTACGACTGGAGGTGTAGGGTAATCCCTTCAAGAGACTAAACACACCTGGCCAAAGCTTGCAATCACGACAAAAACTGAGCAGCCTTGAGAGCCACTGATGCGAGACAAAGAGCACAAACATACCTGGCTGCCACTGATGCAACAGGTCTTCCTCAGAGTCTCCATCGTTGACGAGTCAGACACTCTGTACCATCAATTTGTCTGGATGGTTTTAATGTGTGGACTGGCCCGCCCGGTTGACCCAAAAATACAACACAAAAACACCCTAGGGATCCAGTCGTAGTACCTTCTCAGAAGGTACTTGGACCCTCCTGGCACCTACATAACAGTGCCTCCGATCACCTTCTGAGAAGGTACTTGGATCCCTATGGACAGAGCTTTTCAACAAAAAGACTGAACTTGCAGCACACAAAAAGGACACTTTGGTCCACTAAACACACCAAGAAATAAACCAGGAGTCACATGGAGTTGGGTGCCAAACGAACAGAGGAAGTCGGGCAATGCCCCTGTCACATCCACTCACCTGGGGACGAAGCAAACCACCCAACTCCAATATGATTCCTGGAACGCGACTCTAGTGGCGACCTCAACAACCTCCATGACGACCTAAACTACTCTCCCTCCGAGGCAAGGCTCCTGCAGAAGGAACGCATGATCCTTCGGAGTGCCCCTCATCTGCAAGAAATCCGAGATCTTCACCAAATACATCGGAAAAGACATCTCGTGCACCCAGGACTTGTCGCACGAGTCACCATGGACACTGCCAGAGCTGGCTGCGTGAGGGTTCGCGCCACAGAGCTGGTTTCCCATCTTTTTCAGGGGCGAGACGCAACGCGACGCAGACAGCGAGACCTGTGAGCTCGTTGATGGTGTGAGGTTGGTGAGGTTGATTCAAGATGCTAAGACATAAAGCAAGACCTGGGATGGACTTGCACACCCCCCCCCAAAAAAAAACAACTAATGCCTTTTGTTTGGCACCTTCTGAGAGAGAACATCTCGATGAAACAACTGGGCAGGTGTTTTGTTTTTTTTTTTTTTTTAAATATACGTGTCCTTCGAACATCACTGAGGTTCTTATAGTTCATCCTTAGTTGTTCAAGCAATCAGTGTGCCAGGCGTGCCACCTTTTTCAAGTGGTTCTTATCGTATCAAGCAATCCTTGTGGTTCTTATACTTATAGTCAGTACTTAGTACTATAGTATACTTAGTTCTTATACTTATCAAGCAATCCTTGTGGTTCTTATAGTTCAGTGCCCAACGCTTGGGGCTTCAGCTGGTGTGCCCTGAGCCGAGCCGAGTCCTCTCCTGCAGATCCACAGGTCTCATGCGATGTTTGCCGCACAACTCATGGGTGTAAGGGAGGGATTTGAGCGGTTGTCCAAATCCACATGAACACCTAGACCTCTGACTCACGATCTTGAACTTTCACGATCTTGAAACCACTTCTCAAGGTCCAGGTTTTTCACTGTTGGTGTCAGTGTGCAAACATGTGTACACTGTTCCGTGTGTTTGCTTCATCCCAAATCTGAACAAAAGCTACACTCGTCGGACTCCCAAACTCCCAAACAAGCTCGTACAACCATACAGTCATACAGTATCCATCTGGTCATGGCCATACATGGAGTGTCTGGGTATGAGTCGTTCTCGACGACTGCTAGAAGCACTGGTTGTACATTTAAAAAAAAATACGCCTGTACCAACCTATAGAACATGGACACCTGCACCAAGCAATATGCAACACATGCACCCAAAGCGCCCTGGAGTGGCGGCATGTGGGGGCGGGGGCAACATGAATATCAAATGTTTGACCCCTGGCCCTACCACAAAAAGAGACACTAAGGAGTATAGAAAGAAGCATTCAAGTGGTGGACTTCTTCCTGGATGGTCCTGCCAAACATGCTAAAACCACGACATTGTTGCTCTTTCAACGTGATGTGGCTTGGATATGCAGCACCCCATGTTCTTAATCCATCTTAATCTCTTAATCCCTTTCACCGAACGCACTCCACCTGCTCGAATGTGAAACATGGGGTGTGCCCGAATCCTCCATAAAAGGTATACCAAGTGATCCACCGGTCTGAGCGGTGAGCGGAGTCTCGCCGCGTCTCGCCTCTGGACACGCGGCCAGATACTTCAGCGGCACCCCACGGGTGGGCGGGGCGCTGTTCATCTGGCGCGGTTCAATCACAAATCGACTCGGTGAACCCAAATGGGTTCGGTGAAAACAAACATGCGAAACATGGAATGGAGACGAATCCATACGAATGCACAAAAGTCAACTTCCAGGCATACTAAGAAGAAACACAAACATGGGTGATCAAGATGTTGGGTATCAAGATATGCTATCAAACTATTCCAAATATTCCCTCAACATGTATATATATGCCCGATTCAAATCGGAATCTTGCCCCCTGGAGATTTATCATGATTTATCTTCTTGAGGATCCATCTTAGTTTGTGTTTGTGTTTCTTCCAGGAGTCACAATAAAGGGGTGCCTACTGAAGGATAGGGGTGCTCATTATCCACTCGCTTACGGACTAAAAACCGCCCCTTTGTCAGACTTTGTGACTCCTGGTTGGTTTCTCCTGGAGGAGCAAGGACGCTACGAACGGGGCTCCTGGCATCGCTACGAACGGAGCTATCGGACGCTACTAGTAGCTCCTGGCCTTACTACTATAGCTTAGGAACAAGCAGCTCCCGGTTGGTTTCTCTTGGAGGGTCAAATCCGTTTCAGCAGCATCTCCGAATGGATCTCTCGGACCATCGATCGAACGCCGGACTGGTCGGACTGGTTGACGCTTTGACGCGCCGCGCCCCACGCGGACCGGCGGAGCCCTCCTGTCCTAAGTACTATGGTACCCGCAGCCGCGGTAGAAGGCTTCGCTGTTGTCATGGATGCCCTAATACGACCTGTAGTCGCTCCCTAGAACAACCCACCAGCTTGCACCAGCGCCGCGTTGTGGCGCCTATAGTTATTGCCAGTGTAAGGGTGCACCAATGAAAGGTCCACCAACGAACCGTTCCCATTCTGTATTGGGTTCAAACGAAAACCGGGATCCTATAGTTCCGTTATGTTCCGTTTGGGCTCCTGTCGTATCGTTTCGATTCGGTGGGACTGGAGTGGTTGCCAGGGTCCAGTCATACCCTCTGAGGAAGCACTTGGAGCCGTAGGCCATAGGCAGTAGTTTCCAAAGGCAGTAGGAGCACCCCCTGCACCAAAGCTTTGCATACGTCTTCGCTATTCTTCACTGTGCACTGGACCCTGGACCTAAGAAGTAAATCCAGCTGGACTCAATGACTCAATGTCAGTTTTTTCTTCTATGTTTTGGTGGATTTGGTTTTGGGCATGTCCGCCAAACCCAAATTGAAGAGATAGCGTATGATAGTGTCCAGCTCAAGATGTTGGAAGCTCTTCTGGACTTAAACATCGTATACCTGGAGTCTCAGTTTGTACCTTGGAAAGTAGGTACAAGATGGTACAGTCGTACCTGTTTTTGATTTGGGTCATGTCCTATTTTTTAAGGTACTAGTACTTCCAGGCTCTTTTCCACTCTCCATGTAAGGCATCAGCAGGTGCGTGACCAACCTCAAACAAAAGACTGAAAACGCAACGAAAACCACCCGTGCGTGGTGAAAACCACCCGCCTGCGGAATGGAGAAGCGGCTATTGGGCTCAGTGCGGATGAGCCGCAGCGCGGCCTGGGGAACACAACAGAGTAATCATAGTAGTCCCTGGGGATCCAGTCATACCTTCTGAAGGTACGACTGGACCCGACAATGGCAACTACATAACACACCGTACCTGAGAAGGTACTTGGATCCCTAGGGAGTGTATTGTTAGAATATTTCAATGTCAATATACATATATAATATATGTAAGTAATATGCTTCAAAATATTATTGCTATGCATTTGTACACTTGTTGTTCATTTTGCATGTTCTGAGGAGTTTGCAATTGGTTGGGTTGTCTCGCTTGAACACACCCATTCATACAACTTCATGGAACCCAACAAAAACCCACGGAAACACACAGTGCGACGAAGAGCAGGTCAAGCTGCTTCCACTTGCGGAACAACAAAAACATGTGTTGAAAATCCATTGGCCCAACAACTAAGGTCTCACTATACTTAACATATCTTAACATGTTTACACCAGGACTTACAAAGTGACCGTAGTCCCGTACAGTGACCTTGCCTCTTCAAATCCTGGGATCTCAAAAGGCCACTGAAAGGTCCTGGGAATACTTTTGATGGTGACCATTGATGTGGGTGGAGCCTGACATGGAAATTCATCAGCCAGTCACCCCTGCCCGCAACAGAAAGTACCTTCCTGGTTGAAACGGTCAGTCCGAAGGTTGAAGAAGCCAGACCCCTAGGGATCCAAGTACCTTCACAGAAGGTGATTAGAGACGCTGCTATGCAATGTAGATTTGAAGGGTCCAAGTAGCTTCTGAGGTACTTGGATCCCTAGGGGACTTTAACTAATGACTACTATAGTGACTAGCCCCTAGGTACCCCAGGGCATCCAGGTCCTTTCAAGTCACTTCACCAATCACCGGAAGTCCAACCGGAGCTTCATTCGTTCTTCACCCGCCATGTCTCGGCACATCACCGCGGCATGTAGCAACACCTCGTGTTGATCCACGCCTTCTGTAGCAACTCGTTGGGCACATTGCCCTTCGCCACACAGAGCGCTAAAGGATCGCCGCTTCCTGCGCCGCTTCCTGCGTCGCAAGGTCGAAGGGAAGGTCGCAAGGTCGGTGGTTTCTCAGGAGTGATGAGATTTTGGGGGGGCCCGGGCAAGAAGTGTGTGGATCATGGGCAAGAACTGTGTGGTTTTTTGCTTGATGAGACCCTAAGTCTTAGGGTCTAATCAAGCAAAAAACAAACAGCCTAAGATCATTGTGAGTTCTTGGTTCGCAAGTCCTTCAGAAACTTCAGAAACACTGGATCATAATCCGCGACAGCGGTTGCTGTAGTTTTACACCGAACAAAACATCTTGTCCCATGCACCACGATCTTCTCCCAGGCAGGCAGTCAGTCTTCTGATTACACCGGAAGTGTCCCATGCTCTGCAGGAAGCCAGGGAAAAAGCAAAACACCAATTCAAGGGCTTCACCC